ATAGATATGGGTCAAAAACCACGCCATTCTTGAATCCTCCTCATAACCACGCAAACACTTACACTTCACACATTTGGCGACTCGCGAGTCCTGCATGATCAGACGACATTGAATGATCAGACCCTTGACGAAGAAACGCTCTCGGACATTTGTGAGCGTCTGTCTGCCTATCGCCTCGCCAGTCATGACATGCAAACAAAACACGAAGCACGACTCAACTGTCGAACCCTGCTGCTGGCGTGATCGGATCGGATCGAATCGGAACGCGGTTGGCCCGCCGGCCGCGTCTGCCGTGGCCATGTGTGCTTGACAAATCGTGAATTCACGATTGTTGTGGATATGCGTGATGCTCGTCGCTCGTCGCTGGTCGCTCGATCTCGAGCAAGCCCTACAAAGATTTTGACCTTGATTGACCCTTGACTCTGCTGGCTCTCAAGACTTTTTGATCTGACGCCTCGAGCAACATGGCGTGGTAAGCAGACAGGAGAATGTGTTGTGATTTGATCGAGATCGATAGAATGCTTATATTCAAAATTTAATAAAGGGTCGTGATTGCATTTATGTGCGCATCCGGGTGTCTACGGCCAGCCAGGAGAGGAGCGTGCTGCATGCAGCTGAGGAGGATTTTGCGCAGCAGCGTTCGCAGCAGCAGCTGCTGCAGGCTGAGCGATCTCGATTTTGCGGCCATATAGGCGTACAGTACGGTACACTACGGTACACAACATCCATACCGCCACTGTGCCAACTGCCACCTGCCACCTGCACAGTCATGACTCATGAGTGCTGTGCAATTCAATTCACTTTGGCAATTTAATACCCGCGGACTTCTGCAGTTGCCCCGCCGGCACAGAGCAGCAGCATTGCAGATGAGGGGCAAGAATAAGGGCTTCGGCCTGGATCGACTGATACTCATGCATACTCCCGCGTGTGGTGCGCGTAGGTATATATACCGGTACAGTATATATAGGAATTGCTGAAACCGACTCCAATCAATCAGAATCAAATGAGTTGGAGTACCTTGTCAGCAGCTCCTCTCCATATACAAGAGCGTCCGACGTCATCCGTCTGTTCCCATCTCTCTGAACGAAGATCTGCTGTTCATCTGACGAGCACTACATTCCAGTCTCTCCAACTTCAACGCTTTACACCCCACACCTAGCATCACCTCGACCATCGCATTCGACTGTCCGCTTCGCTTCCTCGCAGCCACCTCTCACACATCTTTGCTCGACTACAGCCTCTCCGCTACGATGGGACCTCTACCGACCTGGGACGTGGCTGATGCAGGCGAGCAGGCCCGGCACTCTCGACCTTCTGCCTCAGTCAGGCCTGTCCCTACCTCTTCACCACGAACAAACGCACGCTGGCACGGCAAGCAGCGATTGAGAGACAGAGACGCAGCTGCGAATGATGTGGATTTGGTTGGAAGCGATGAGGTCGGCAGGATGAAAAGAGTGGGTAGGAGTATGGGCGTGATATTGAGGAGACACATGTACTTTGTCGGGCCTGGAATCATGAGCTCGGTAGCCTTCATGGGTGAGTCTCGCAATGCCGAGCCGGGCCGTACAGACTCTGTCGCTGACCTTCGTTCTTCTCCTATGCTCTCGTCTTGCCTCTGCAGATCCTGGGAATTGGTCGACGGATCTGTCAGCAGGTGCTCAGTACGGCTACAAGTTGCTCTTCGTCATCCTTCTCTCTTCCGTCATGGGCATTTTGCTGCAAGTGCTGGCAGTGCGCATGGGCGCAGTCGTTGGTGTCGATCTCGCCAGAGCTACTAGGCTGTGGCTTCTGCCAGAGGAAAGAGACAAAGAATTGAGCTTATACAGGGACGGCCTCGACGACACGGCCGCGGCGGAGCGGGCCGCTCTAAGCATTGATCAGAGAAAGCCTTGGCGAAAATGCAGATTGGGACTCCTCTGGTTGCTTTACATTGTTGCGGAGGGTGCCATCATCGCGACCGAGCTTGCCGAACTCGTAGGAAGCGCCATCGCACTGAACTTGTGAGTCAACTCTCCACCCTCGTCTTGACTCGAAATGCAGCTGTACTCATCCGCTCGTCGATCCACCCCAGGCTGTTTCCTGCCCTGCCAATCTGGGCGGGCACGCTCATCACCAGCGTCGACGTCTTTCTGATTCTCCTCATCTACCGAGAAGGCGCATCTATGCGCGCATTCGAGCTGCTCATTGCTATCCTCGTCTTCATCGTCATGGGCTGCTTCATCGTTCTGCTCGTTCGTGTAAACGCCGATTGGGGAGATGTCTTCTACGGGTTCGTGCCGTCCAGCACCTTGGTGGAGAAGGATGCTCTTTATATTGGCGTTGGTATCGTCGGTGCTACCGTCATGCCGCACGCTCTCTTCAACGCAAGCCAATGGGCCACCGTAGATCGTCTCTTGACGCGCAAGGTCAACGCTGAGGCTGAAGGTCTGCCCGCTCCACGAGACAGTACAAACGAGCCCCGAGACAGCGGAGACGGCCATTCTGTCCAAGAACGCATGGGCGACCATGACAGCAGGGGCACGGCTACTCAGGATTCGAAAGATGTGTCTAAGTACTTGCCAAAGTCCCTGGTTCGCTTGAGATCTCGAGCTCATGCCATGGCGGAGCGCTTTCCCACCTTCAGCTTGGGCGGACCAGCCATTCCTTCGCCCGAGAGCCACTCGCATCGAGCTCCTCCTTCAGTCGCCAATATCAAGATACATCTGGCACATGCGACTGTCGACATTGTCTTGTCCTTGCTCATCTTTGCTCTAGTCGTCAACGCTGCCATCCTGATCGTCGCCGCCGCCGCCTTCTACTACGGCGGCAACCGCGAGGAAGTTGGCGATCTATTTCAGGCGTTTGCGCTGATCAAATCGACAGTCGGTCATACGTCTGCCATTCTATTCGCTGTCGCCTTGCTGGCAGCTGGACAATCTGCAAGTTTGACAGTGACACTGGCAGGTCAACTCATCTCCGAGGGGTTCATTCGGTGGACCACCAATCCTTTCGTCAGGAGAGCATTGACGAGAGGCATTGCTCTCATCCCTTCTTTCACAGTCGCTGCAGCTGTCGGCCGAAGTGGACTGGATCGGATGCTCGTGGCAAGTCAAGTAGCCTTGTCCATGGCGCTGCCTTTCGTCCTCGTGCCCCTTCTAGTCGTCACTGGTAGTCGCTCTTGGATGACGGTGCAAGAATTGCCGCTTCCGGAGCACGACTCGAATGCGCAACAGGACACCAGTCATGATGTTTCAGCAGACGCCAAGAAGCCAGACGACGCAAAGGTTGCGGATGACTCGCACGCGGCCGATGGTTTGCGCATCGCTGGAGGACTTGCATCCGCGCCTGAAGCTGTGCTGCCTTCCTCGTCCACCGAGCCGCCAGTCAATGCCGCTGCTGAAGCATTGGCTGCACCCGGATCTGCGGTGGTAGACGAAGGACCACGCATCGGTCGATTCGCTAATCATTGGTCGGTCATCATCTTTGGTTGGTTGCTATACGGCTTGATCCTCATCTGCGACGGCTTCGTCATCGTCACTTCTGCCATGGGCGATGACTGAAAGTCTGCGCTAGACTTGAATTTCGCACTCCTCTCGGCGATTGCGCATACGCTCCTGGAAGCCACGCACGGTGGGAAGCGATCGTGTGCTTTGTGACGGCAGAGCCTCACCTTTTCGACGTATCTTTACAGCCGCCTGTTCACAAAAGTTATCAAGGTTTTCTTCGCTTGTAGCAATAAAGTGTCACCGATAACTCAATTCCTACTCCTCTTTCTTGCATATAGACTCTTCAGTAGACTCTTGCCACATCCCAATGTTGATGCGTGTTCAACAGCGACTCTCCCAAAGTACCGATTGAGGGATTTTTAGTATGCCTAGCCGCGGGACGTTTGTAATTCAGACAGCGCAGCTGTGATTGTTCCTGCTCGTGAGACGCGTCGCGTAAAGTGCAGCAGAGGAGCAAATCACGCAGCAGGCAGTGGCGCGTGTGCAGCAGCTGTTAGAATTTTGAAATCTGAATGATTCATGCAAGCACGCGCCTGCAGCCTTTTGGGCTTATCGCGCATGAAAAGGCAGAAGAAGTTGAAGTCAAGACGAATTGTGAGAAAGTCAATGAATGCGACAACGTCCAAAGTTCCAGGTATCTTGCTTCGTCAAGGAGAGTGGGAAAGGTTTGAGGAATATACGCAATCGTTTGTCATTTGAACAGCAGGTAGTCTTGAGTCTCACGCATCCAGCCACCACTCTAGTTCCGCAAGCCGCCGACAAATTCTTTCGAGTCGAGCGTGGAGAGAAAGCCCCACTGCGCGAGGTCCGCGCCAAAGGAAGCCAGGGTTGTCGGTTCAGACGCACCCTTATCAGGATCAGCATACAGGTTGTCCAAGTGTGTAGAGGTGTTTCATACGTTTATTCATTGCACATCTGCTCTTTGCCGGCAACGCGCTTGGTAATCGACCTCGCAAGCAAGCATGGACGCGCTCGATTCAAAACCAGAGACAGAGGCAACGGGGCCAGGGCGCGAGGAGAACTCAAACAGCCTTCCTTCGCCCAGCACATCCAGCCCGAGACGCACGAGCACTATCGGCCTTGTCGATAGAGCAGCCAAGGCAGTGCGCACACAGATGGACTGGCTGAGCACAAGAGAGGCGTGGTTAGGATCCTACAATTATCGACGCCTATTCCAGCCTCGATGGCTGCCTTGGGCTAGAAGGTATCGCACAGGAGCACCTCCAGAGCATGCTGGCGAACTGCCGTTCTACGGCCTCAATGACCCTTTACCGATCGTCTTGGCTGCCATCTGCGGCTTGCAGCACTGTTTGGCTATGCTTGCGGGTCTCATCACTCCTCCAATCATCGTGGCTTCCACATTCTCCCTGGACGCCTCGACTAGCTCTTATCTCATCTCGGCATCCCTAATCGCTAGCGGCCTTTTGTCTCTGCTGCAAATGTCGGCCATACCGCTCTCCTTCATTCCGCTGAGGTTCTTCAAGGACAAGCAAATCGGCACGGGCATAATCAGCGTCGTTGGAACGAGCTTCAACACTCTATCCGCAGCTTCGAGCATCTCCACTGCGCTCTACGCGGATGGCGTGTGTCCTACCAGTCCACAAGGCGCTCGATTATCATGTCCGCAAGGCTACGGCTATCTGCTTGGCACATCTGCGCTCTGCGCATTGCTCCAGATTGGCATCAGCTTCGCCCCCGTCAAGCTTATCCGTCGCGCATTTCCGCCACTCATCACGGGTCCCGTCGTCTTTCTCATCGGCGCCAATCTGATCGGCAGCAGCGGGTTCCTGGATTGGGCGGGTGGCAGCGGGGAATGCTCATTCCGGCCCGCAAGCGGACAATACTCGGTGTGTCCTCAAGTGGGCGCCCCTCACGCTCTGCCTTGGGGATCACCCGAGTACCTTGGCCTTGGCCTCTTCTCTTTCATGACCATCGTCTTTGTCGAGCTGTTTGGCTCGCCAGCGATGAGATCGGCCAGCATCGTCATCGGACTCATCATTCCGACCGTCACGGCAGGTATAGGAGGAGGCTACACTTCGCGCTCGTCCATCGACGCTGCTCCCCCAATCACCTTCCTCTGGGCGGACACTTTTCCGCTTCGAGTCTATGGACCTGCCGTCTTACCGTTGCTGGCAGTGTATCTGTCCATGACAGCAGAAGCCACTGGAGATATCACGGCAGCGTCGGAGATGAGTCGGCTGAGCGTGCAGGGAGCAGACTTTGACAGGCGAATTCAAGGCGGTATCCTCAGCGACGGCCTGGGTGGACTGTTATCAGCGCTGGGAACCATCACGCCGCTGTCGGTCTTTGCGCAAAATACTAGCACCATCGGCATGACTCGAGTGGCCAATCGGCGAGCGGGCTACTGGTGTTGCGGCTTCTTGGTGCTGTTTGGAATCTTGGGCAAGATGGCTGGCGCCATCTTGGCCATCCCAGCACCAATCCTGGGCGGTGTGACGAGCTTCTTGTTCGCTAGCGTGGCTGTCGCTGGCCTCTCGCTGATCGCGCGAGTCGACATGCAAAGCCGCAGGATTCGATTCGTCCTGGCATCATCCCTGATGATGGGATGCGGTAACCTTTTGGTCAAGGATTGGGCGACCTATCTGCTTCCAAGCACTGGTAATCACGCTTTGGCAGGATTCTTTACGTCGATCAAGGTGCGCGCTTGCTCAGCTGCCGCTCCATCAGCTTCTTCCTGATGACCACTCTTGCTTCCCCGCACTTGCCGCAGATTCTGATTCAGACCCCTTTCGTCATCGCTGCATTGTGAGTCGTCTGTGCAGCCTCTTGTCGTAATCTTTGCAAAGGTGTTTGCTGACGCTCTTCATCTCGACGTGCAGCACTGGACTTGTGGCCAATACCATCTTACCATACGACGGCGAAGATTTGGCAGCGGAAGAGCGCGCACAAAAAGCCTCCCAAGCGTCTGCGCTAGAGCTTGAAATGGCTGTTCCAAGCGCTTATCACAAAGGCGCTACGACAAGCTCAACTTCTGTGGTAAGCGCAGCAGGCGATGAACAAGACGCGGAACATGAGATTGGGACAAGGCATAAGCAGCAGTGACGAATCGCTTCGGGCTTGTATGATAGGCACGGCGGCTTCTGCGCTCATGTTCGCCGAAACGATCGAGAAGTCGAGAATTTCGATTCACGATTGAGCAGGTCCGAGTTGAACAGCGATGTGTGATTGCGATCGGCGCTCCCAGCTCATTCAGCTTCCAGATTTGGTGTGCGATCCGATGAAAGGCGACCATCATCATGCATGCATTCACGCTTTCATTGCTGCAAGAGGGCGAGCTGAGCAGCAAGCAAGCAAGCGGAGACGACACTGACCAGAGGGTGGATCATAGCTCACACACGAAGTCTCTGGTGAGCGAATCGTACACGTGTCACCACGCAGCTACGAATCACGAATACACGCGGATGGATGATGAGCAAGCAGCGCGTGTGATGTGTGGCTGTGTTGTCACTTTTGCACGCGCAGCAGCATCCAGACCTCGAGGCGGGCGATGCAACAAATCGTGAACAACGCAACGCAACGCGTCAGTCACGATCGAGTGCATGGCCCGCCGCGTCCTGAGAGTCCAACACCTCCGCGGCGCTGCATGCGCCATGCTGCTGCTGATCAGCTGCGCCAAACTTTAATTTGCTTGCAGATGCTGTGCCTAGACACGCGAATCGTGAATCAGTGAATGTAGGTATAGCAGTCAAATCTGAGTCGCTGATGCGTTTTGATTGAACAATTAAGCTCGCGACCGAGATTCGGCTGCTTGCTGGATGGCACCTTGCTGCGCATTTCCAGATCGCGGGTCTCTCATCTTCATGGACCACCTTTCCCTTCTCGACTGTGTTCCATCAGCCCACTCGCCTCTCAAGACTACGCTGCTGTCGTTCTACAAACAATCCCGCTTCCACGCAACGCCTCGCACACATGGCGAATTCACAAGCACCTCGAAGGTTTTGGGCACCCCCGCGTGCAAAGGAACAATCGTTGGATGCCTTTTTGAAAGAGAACAGGCCTTCTTCCGTCCAGAGATCCTACGACGGTTGGATATGGGTGGTGGGTCCGCGCAGATCACTGATCCAAGAAGCGGCGCCCATCAGTGAAGAGGTGCTGCTCAAAGCAAGGAGTATGGTCAAAACTCTCGAAGATGAGATTCGGAGCATAGATGTCAGTGCGATCTTGACGAGATCAGTCGCTTGAGAGGAGTATGTATGCGCGCTCAAATATTTCTCGATCTTTGCAGGATGATCCGAATATTCCTGTACGAGGGCGCAAGGGTGTTCTGAGTAAGAAGCAAAGAAGGGAAAAGGCGCAAGCCGATGCTGATCTAAAGTACAAGCTAGCCGAGTTGGCTGTCAGTTCTGGATTCAGCGTCGGCAAGTGGTAAGTCGAGTGTCCGTCGCTTCATCATGAGTCAGATGCGCGTAGAATCAATAGCACTCTTACTGTCTCTTCAGGCTTTTCTTCCGGCGCGGCACGAGCGTCGATCTCTTATTCGCAACGCTCGCCAAGTCGATCAGCGATGGACCCCTTTCGAGATTGAAGGCCGCCGTTACGACCGTCAAAGCTGCCGTATTACCGCAGCAGGAGAGTGAGGAGCAGGTCGTTTGCTTGTACTTTGACGATTTCTTCGATCAAGACACGGCGCGAGAGGTGAGCCTGTTGGCGTGACGCCAGCTCCAGAAGAACCTCCGTCACCAGAGTCGCTGAACCGATCCGCTCTTTGAAACAGATTCTCACCTGTGTCATCAAAGAACATGGTCAGTAGGCACGCATTCACCGGGATCCTGATGGTCGGTCTGACACGCATCTCCCGTCCCAGGCGTACTGCCCGCCGCCGCAAAGGTGAGGGTGCTGCAAATACACACAGTGGAGCTCACGCGCTGATCTCTTCTTTTCTTTGTATAATCGCAGTCTGACTTGTACACCGAGCTTGGCATCACCTCGAAGCACCCGACCGGTCTAAGGAGTACTGAATACCAGTGAGTGTGGTTCTATGTCTCTGTGCGATCGGCAAGGCTGATCATGTCACTCCGCAGGCCCAGGGAGCTTTTGATGCAATCTCAGATTGACGATTGGCAGGCTGCATACAACAAAACGCGCGACGGTGGTGTCAAGGTCCGTAGCAAATACGACCAAGTCAACGAGGCTGGTTTCGAAGATGATGGATCTGAGGATGCAGACAATGACAACGCTCGCAAACCAGTCGCATTGTCCTCACCAAGCAAGGAGACGTCTGCCCGGCTTGAAGCACGACCGCTTTCAAGCAATGCAGCTTCTCCTGCGAAGTCGCCAATTCTGGCTACCTCAACAGACGCAGACGAAGACAGTGTGACGGAAAGCGAAGACGAGAATGAGGTATGTTCTTGTCCGGTTACTGAGTCTCCGACGCATGCGATGATCTGAATGGGCCAATGCTTATAACCCGCCAAGCCTCGAGGGAAAGTCACCGTTTGGCCAAAAGAAGTCGCCGCGACCGACGGTAGCGCAAAACGTTCTGCGGATAACAATGGCAGATCTGCACCAACAGCAGCCCCCCCAATCAAGAAAGCCAGGGGCGCTAACAGTCGCAAGGCTGTCTTTTGAGCAGCAATTGGTGGCAATTGGTGGCACTGCTAAGAAGATACGAACACGTTTCTGTAGGCCATTTCGGATAGTGTCCAGCAACGGACGTACAACACGACTTTGGAAAGAGTGCTTGCGAGTGACGAAGTCACACCTGTCTTCCATGCGCAAGAGGCAAACTCTCTGAGCGATCTCACCGATTGAGCCTCATAAGCTTCCCGATGTAAGTTTGGCCCTTGTTGAAATCGACGACTTCGCCCCTTTCCTTCGTGACTGCTTGACGATAAAGCGAGTCTTTGCGGACCTCATCAAGCCACTGTCTGATGGCCGGCGAGATGATGAGACCGGTGTTCTGACGCCATGCTTCCGAGCGATTATCAGCGATCGTGTTCAAAAACTCTAGTGGGAATATAGCTCCAAACTGTGAACAGGCCGTGAGCACCGGCTCGTTAGTCCAGTGAGGCTTGCAGCGAGCGTGTCGAGACTTTGCTTGCGCCACTCACGTCTGCAGGGCCGAAACCGCCGTCAAGCGTATGAATGATTCCTTTGCCCCCCTTTGCCTTGGTCTCACGCAAAGATCCGTCAACCCATTCCAGGTCCA